GAGAGAGAGGGAGAGAGAGGGAGAGAGTGAGAGCACACACACACACTCACTCACTCGACACGACGGACTCGGACTGAGGGTCGGACGCAGACACAGTGGCAAGGCACAAAGTCGAAGTCTTGGATTCCRAATGCCCAAACGGCAAGTCACACTGAGTACGAGTACAGCAGCAGAGAACTGGTCGAGACTCCCCCCTGTACCGTACGGGGAGCCGGTCATAAGTAYCGGTGACACGTACGGTACYAGGGGCATTTCTGCAAAGGCCCCGAGGGCAGAACTGAAAAATGCAGTATTTGAAAGTGGCGCCCGAATTGCAGCATGGCGCCAGTTATCCAAAATCCTACGGTACCAAAAGGAGGGGTTTGGAAAAGGGGTGCCAGGCCGAAAACGGGATGCAGCCGAAACAGCAAAAGATAGACCAGGGATCGAGCCCTGGCGAAGTCCGTAACATTGTTAGTGTTAATGGCTTCCAAACGTTCTGTTGCTTGCATGGCCGTATCTGCAAAGAGAATTTGGAACCTACATACTTTGCTCCCCTTCATTGTGGTTGACGCACAGCTGAGGGTCCACAGGAGACTACCATGGGAGCCGCGAAACAAATCCCTTAGCGAAGATTGATTTTCCTGCAGTTCTTTTGAAGCGCTCAAGAGGTCAGAGACTGAAAAGGGGGTGCTTGACCTGTTTTCCAGCACTCATCTTTTGCTGTGTACCTTAATCTTGGAATGCTTGAGACAGTTTGTAGCAAGTGCTGCTTCAGTTTATGTTTTGCACAGTGTCCTCTGCAAGATTTAGGATGCTAATTTTCTTCTATATGAATGGGACGGCGGCCGAAGATTTCTTGTGGCAATGGAGTATATAAAAGATGCTTATGACAGTCCCTAGGGACATCTGTTGAAATTGGAACGATACAGAGAAGATTAGCATGGCCCCTGCGCAAGGATGACACGCAAAAATTGAGAAAAGGTCCAGAAAAAAAAAAAAAAAGATGCTTATGATAATGTTAAGGTAGCGGAAGATTAGAGATGTGACCCGAGGACCTGGGGTTTAGGGTTTTTGGGGTGCAAACTCTGGCTAACAAAATGTGTCTGGTAGGCGGAGGTTGCCATCAGGCTTAGCACAGCGATCATTGATGTACTAATGCAGGCATAATCCAACCTGCTGTGAGTTCGTGACATGGTTCTGCAAAGATGTGACATGGGCAAAGGCTTCAGAGCTTCGTTATACCTCTCATAAACTGCACCAGTTGTGGAATCTGACTGAGTAGTGCCTTCAAGCAGCAGATCTCATGTTGTCTCATACCTCTTGTGGATGCTATCCCTTCCAATAGATTGTTCTAGCTGTGGAATGTGAGGGAGTATGATATGACGACACTGAGCGTCCTCTCCTGTCCAGTTGTCAATAACCATTGGACTTTTGCATGTCCTTCATACATGATTCCTGACTGCACCTGGTTGAAATCTGGCTTGCAGGCTTGTGGAAATGCTCACAGTTGCAGGGTCAAAAGGTGGCATGCTGCGATTCGTTGGGAAGATGGCCCTCTTTTGGGGAGGACTTAGGGAAGCAATGAATGTGACCGAGAGGCTTCCAGGGTTCTTGGGGATACGGCAAAGGCCGTTGGCTCAAAGGTAATGCAGGATATCTTAATTTGTGTGTGTGTGTGTGTGTGTGGACGTCTGCGCGCGAGTGTGAGTGCTGACGCAAAAGAGAGAGAGAGAGAGAGAGAGAGGATCCTTGCATATCTGAAGATTCTCAACGAAGTCATTAGAAATGTGCTGTGTTGCTGTGCAAAACGGAAGCAACTAGATGAACAGCACGTGCATGCATGTCACAGCAGTCATTCAAGAACAGTCATGATGAAAATATTGGCGAGTAATCAACAAAGAATAAGTAACGACAGGTACATGATGACATCAATGGCAACATGAAGGTCTAATGAGGATTGGTATCCGCAAAAGAGATCTGTCCCTGCTTCTGTCTAGAAATGATGGGCTTCACGCCATTAAGCAACAAAATGAATCTGCGCCTTGTAAGTGGGCCTGAAACATTCAAAATGTTCGATGGGTTTGAAATTGATGGGCTTCACTCCATTAAGCAACAAAATGAATCTGTGCCTTGTAAGTGGCCGTCAGCATCCGGCACACCAGCCTGAGGCCCTCACCAATCTCTGTGGTCTGACTGCAACTAACATTTCTCTTCACATTCTCCACCGTCCGTTTTATACACACACAATCGGACTTCCTTGCTATCACCCTTCAGCTTGATGCTGATCTCCCCGTTCCGCCAGAGGATTGTAATTATACAAGGGAAAGAGGCTTTATCATTGCTGTCCTACAAGTAGCAATGAGGGACCGCCAACTTGAACTACGCAATGCTCAAGCAAGTGAGTGGTTCTCTCCTTGCATTGTGCACGGACCTGGCCATTACATGGCCATCGGACATCCCTCTGACCACTGGGAGCTGTGGGACAACGGGATCATGACTGATGTTACTGATTCCTTGCATGATGATGCTGTTTTATTGCCTCACCAAACTGTCGGCCATCTCTTTTATGTTGAAGATCATCATTCCTCTGGCCCCGTGCTCCAGCAGGACAATGTACCAACACTCTGCGACCTTTTCCTTTGCATAGCCACAGACACTGTTACACTCGGCTGTAGCCGCCATCGTTTCTGTCACAATAACTACAATCAGATGCTTTCTGCATCCATGTGTGTAGAGGACTACCCCTCTGTTCCTGCCTGCAGGCACCCTCCGCATCTGGACGCTATTTGTCCATTTTGCGGCCATGGCCACTATGCTGAATGCATGGTCTTCTGTGGTGAGCGTTCTTCCTTCATTTTGGCCTGCAATCGACATGTGGGAGTGTATGGTGGGCATGCTCAATGCCAGCCGTCATCTTCATTCCACACTCCGTACTTTCCCTTTTGGTTCTTTGTTTGTCTTCTCTTCATCTTTCTTCCCTGTGCTTATCACCTTCCCCTTTACTCTGCCTCTTTCTCACAGCGTACAAGTGGGTCGTTATGGCACACGGAGTTGGGGCAGCTCCGCTCAACTTCATCAATGTGGCGAGCCTTGTATGTGAGAGGCATACTGCAGGGGGAGTCAAAAGAAGAATGATAAAAATAAATGGTTTCAGTGCCCCTCGCGTTTTTTTTCTTTTTCTTTTTTAATCCTTGCCTTTTGTTTCGCAAAATGCGCTCTTTTAGTTCATAGTTATGTGACAATATATATAAGCCCTCGTTTGTTGTCCTCTTTTCCCTCTCTGCCTATGGTTTACCGGGCAGCTCTGTTTGACTATATATACCATGACTTAGCACCCTGCTACTGTTTTCTCTGGTCCGGTCGAGCGGCAGTGGTCAGGGCCGTCACTACGCGGCCATGCTGTGCCTCTAGTGCCAGCGGCGTCCGGAGTGTATTTTTTGGCTGTGAGACCTTTCTTTGTTTCGTGGGTGTTTTGCTTGCTTGTGATGGGTGTGAACTGACAGTCTGTAGAGTTTTCCATCTGGTGTGGGTGAGTGATAGTCTGCTTTGATTTTCGTCACAGGTACCTTAAGGGCAGTGGCTGGTGCCCGCCTCAGGGTATCAGTTGTTGGGCAGTCGTTTATGCTTAACCACAGCCGGGGTCAAGGTGGATTATCACTTACAGTGTAACCAGTTAGAGGATTCTGCAGACTGTTGAGGGTTCAGCCTCCTGATGAGTCGGTGAAACTCCGATGAAACAGTTTGTCACAGCCCCTTGTTTGTTGTCCTCTTCTCCCTCTCTGCCTACGGTTTACTGGGCAGCTCTTTTGACTCCGACCAAACAGCTTGTCACAGCCCCTTGTTTGTTGTCCTCTTCTCCCTCTCTGCCTACGGTTTACCGGGCAGCTCTGTTTGATGATATAGATGGTGGACTCCGACGAAACAGTTTGTCACAGCCCCCTTGTTTGTATATAGATACAGCCTCCTGATGAGTCGGTGAAACTCCGACGAAACAGTTTGTCACAGCCCCTCGTTTGTTGTCCTCTTCTCTCTCTCTGCCTACGGTTTACCGGGCAGTTCTGTTTGTGACGATATATATATATCGTCACAAACAGAACTGCCCGG